TGAGAACTTCGCACATCAATTACTTGAGACGGGTGCGTTGGAGGAGAGAGCAGCTCAAGAACATAGAGAAAAATCCCGCTCACTGTCTTACTTGCAAAATGTGAGATATTTATGTGAGGACAAACCGTGCAACGTTTTGGCACTAGGACTTATCCCATAATTAGTTGAATTTATACTATGTCTCTATGTATTCAGATACTCTTCTGTTTTATTATTTTTCCATTATGATTAATATTATTATTTTATTATTATTACACTGTAAGTTGATTTCTTTTGTTTTTTGAATTATAGGGACGTAACAGTAACTGAAATATCGTGATATCGTATCGTCAAAGTTGTCACAATAACATCATGGACCATCGCAATATATCGAATTGCAAGTCTCTTTGCCCTAATGAAGAGTTAATGTGCAGCATTAACTAAAAAAAGACAGAGGGAACTACATAGACCATGATCCTTTGCTCCATTTCAGTGCAGACGACAAGAAGAAGTAACAGTTCTAACACTTTTAAGTCTTTGGATTAAGTCTTGTCAAGGCATTTTAAGAGGAAAAAGTAGAATATTCACACTTTTAGGTGTTTAGTCTCCACAAAATATCACAATAAATATCATACCGTGAGATGTATATCGTAAAAATATTGTACAGAGAGATTTAAAGATCGTTACATCCCTAATCGTGAACCTCCCCACAATATTTCGAATTAAATATCGAAGCGTGAGGTTCATACCGTGACAACATCATAACGTGAGACTTGAATATCGTTACACCCTTATTGACTTGTTTTGGGTGAACTGTTAAGACCTGTCACCCTTGGGTGCTTGCCCCACCCTGTTTAAACGGCCACCTGAGCTCTCACTCTGTTTGTCTGATAAAGGCCTAGTGCCAAAACATGGTGCTGTTTGTCATAAAACATCTCACATTTTGCAAGTAAGACGGTGTGCGGGATTTTTGTCTATGTCGTTGCTTTTTGTCGTTGCACGAGACATACATTTGTGACCAAAAGCTCGCCTCGTGTCTCAAGTACGGTTGGGCGGTGTCCAAATTTTCATACTGTTAAACCTTCTCAGGATTTTACCGAGAAATATTGTATTACTGTATTACCAAAAGGTTTTAGTACAACTTTGGTAAACTACGAAATCGCACTTCAGACGTATAATCTCTGAAAAGTTTCACATGAACCATCTCCAACACGACACACACACAGAACAGACTCACCATCAGCAGCACATCCTCTGTCACAGAAAGAACACTCGAATTCCACTGAGTCGTGTCCTTTAGTTCGACAGAAGCTGAACCACATCATCGCACAAGGAGCGAGCTGTTTTTATAGTTTATGCAAATGAGCCATGTGGTTATAAGATTTGTTTCTGTAAAATGTAAATAAATGTGCGTCTAAAGCCAAAATGCTGCCAAATTGTAGAAGTACTCATATTTTTTTTGGGACCAACTCACTTGTGGCCGGACTTGTCGTCTTGTCTTGGTCTCTTTTGAACGTCACGTGACAACGGAACAAAACTAATCGAACGTCGTCTCTCCACACAGTTAAAAGAAACATTACAGACACTATTAGTTTAAAATTGTGATCGCATTAAACTGAAAATACAACCACACATTCATTTGTGCTGAGCAAACACATTTAGATATGGGTCCGGTCAAGTGGTAACGGAGGGAAACAGGGGCAGATTTTTGACATTCAAATGTCTCTTATTCAGAAACTAGAGGGACTATTGAAATAAGTAAAGTATCAGAATGTAGGAAAGAGTTACACTCCAACAGGGTCAAGTTAAACCTGTGATATTCTTTCAAGTTGTTGACAAAAAATTTTAAAACTCATGTCGGTAACAGAGGGAATGAAATATGCAGCACTTTTTGGGCAATAAATCCAAACAGTGATAACTCTTGGTTCTCACTTACATATCCTTAACAAACTGGTTTGAATATTTGCTTCATATAGTTTTCTACCATATGGTACAAGATTAGGTTGAAAAACCTCTTACTTTTTGACTCATGAGATTTTTTATTAAGAAAGGGTCATGGTAACGGAGGGAAAAGTAACAGAGGGAAAATTGTTCAAACAAGTAGAAGGTGCAGGATTTTACATAATTTGTCACTTTTTTCTTCTGAATACTTTAATATTACTTCAAAATGAAAGGAAACTATTTCTATAAAATATGTCAGTCCTTCCAAGCTAATTTTTTTCATTTTAAATACATTTTTTTGAAAAATCATGTAACTTCATCAACAGTTCAAAGATGGAATAACACAAGATATGATGAAATACATCCATTTATTTACATGATTTTTGGGTCTTTGAAATTTGGGAAATAATTTTTGTTCCATGTTTCATACATGGTCTGTTTAAAAACATATGGAACTTTAGAACCAAAAATGGTCCAGAAAAAAGGTCAACAGTTTCATAAACTAGAGTACATATGTATCTGTTCAATACATTTTTATATCAGATGCATTAACTTGATTTTTTGGTCTTGCTGTTTACTTCTGCTTGACCGGGCCCATATCAGTAAATTATAATATTATAATAGGTCCTTATGCGCTGCAGATTTTTTTTTTTTTTATGACATAAACTGAAACTGATACGGTTGCTACTTTTTGCTAAGGGGGAAACAGTAATACCGTATTGCCACTAGAGCCCGACCGATATGGATTTTGTTGTGGCCGATATGCAGTAGTTTGGCCTAATGGCATTTTTGCATCACATTCTAGCTACTAGTGATGGGTATTCCAGTTTTTTTTTGGTTTTTTTTTGGAGAACCGGCTCTTTTGGCTCGGCTCACTAAAGCAGCTGGCTCTTTCGGCTCCCAAACGACTCTTGAGATTGTTTTGTTGCAAGCAGGACTAAACCAGAACTGAACCAGGACTGAGTGTTGGGACTCGGTTTCTATCTTTCTCCTTCACTCGAGCCCAAGATTAGTCCTGGTTTATTCATTTTATGCTGAACTGCAGCCAAATATGCACTTTTTTTTGTCCTATTCACACGCAGATTTCTGAAAGTTTCGTTTTTAGCCGCTGCTGCTGTCAGACTATGGGTCTACATGCGGCATGAAGAGAAAGTGAGAAAAAGAGACTAACCGCTAACAAAACCTAAACTAGCTTCAAAGTCGATGTATTTCTAACACTCACCGCTCACACAGGCTCCTCCTCACATCACAAGTCTGAACTAATAAATGTCCTTTTAATCCAGACTCAAACCGATTGTCCGTAAAAAGAAAATAATCTCATTGTTGCGCACGGCTGCAGGTGTAAACAAACACACGCGAGTGAAGTGACGTCACTCTGGTGGTGTGTTCAGGGACAGTACGGACACAGACAAATTACACCGCAGATAAATACTGATGTGGAGCCACATATTGGGACATTTATCTGTCTGTAAATTGGATTAAATGAACATAATGTAGAAAGTCTAAGCTTTATAACGAGGTATAACATGCCCACGTGAAATATCGGCCCATATCAGCGAGCATATCGGCCGATAGCCGATATGTCTCCAGGTGCCCATATTGGCCGATAATATCGGCCAGCCGATATATCGGTTGGGCTCTAATTACCACCCAACTCTAGTCTCAAGTATGGACTTCTGCACTGAATATTCATTTAACAAAGACTGAGGAGTTTTTGTGACAAACACAAGACAGACTAATTTCTTACGCTTTATTTAGTGCTGCTGTAGTCATCACAGTGGAGTACCCGCCGTGCCGTCCCGTTTAATATAATTTGTAATTCTTGTATATTTTCAGCTGCTGTATGGGCTTATGGATAAACTGCACATGTGACTGAGCGACAGGTGCAACGTCTCATTAGTACAACATTTGGATCCCTCTGACCACACTGCCTCCTCTTTCTTTTCTTCCGTGTCTGTCATCATCTGGTCATGGTCTGCACGGCTGTTCAATGTCCTGTTGTGTACGAATGCGGACAGGGAGCCAAAACACGTCCAAATGGCACAATCGTTTTAATTATACTAATAAAAATACATGACCGCTAAATGAGGGTGTTAAGTGTTAGAAAATGCCTTCCTTTGCCTTTCCCTTTGTATATCGTGTTTTCCACCGACGTGAAGACGCCCTTATCAATCTGTGTGTCATTCGTTTTTCCAATATAAAACCAAAAATAAGGAAACGAAAAAACAACTGTTTTCTTCGCTATTTGTCTCCAAAACCAAAATGATAAAACAGATAATGATTTGTTTTTTCAGTTTTTGATTTTGTGTTTAAATGACGAATGGAAAAATCGGATAACGGCCGTTTCCCATTTACGTGACTCCCGTGACTGCGATGCTGGACTTCTGTGCCAAATACGAACTGAACCAGGACTGAACCAGGACTGAACCAGGTCCGGGACCAGATCAGGACCAGAGTGGGACCAGAGCGGACTCCGAGCCTCCGCAGGGTCCGAGCCTCAGCTTCGAGCTCCGGCCCTGCCATGGGCTCTGAGGCTCCGGTCTGGTCTCAGTCCCAGTCTCAGTCTCAGTCTCGGTCTGGTCCCGGTCTCGGTCCCGCTCTGGTCTCAGTCTGGTCTCGGTCTGGTCTCGGTCTGGTCTCGGTCTGGTCTCGGTCTCAGTCCCGGTCTCAGTTCTGGTCTGGTCCCGGTCTGGTCCCGGTCTCAGTTCTGATCTCAGTCTTGGTCTGGCCCCGCTCTGGTCCCGGTCTGGCCCCGGTCTGGTCCCGGTCTCAGTCCTGGTCTGGTTCTGGTCTGGTCTCAGACCTGGATCAGTCCTGGTTCAATCCGGCATCGCAGTTTAAGTCACATAAACGGGAAACGGTCATAATCCGTTTTTTACATTTTTCATTTAAACACAAAATCGAAAAATGAAAAAGCAAATCATTATCTGTTTTTTTCATTTTGGTTTTGGAGACAAATAATGAAGAAAACTGTTGTTTTTTCATTTTCTTAGTTTTGGTTTTATATTGAAAAATGAATGAACGACTGATACACGGATTCTCATCAAATGTAAACCTCCTCCTTCCTCCTCTTCTCTCAGGTGAGACGATGGAGCGCTCGGGCAGCATCCAGGTGGACATCCCGGACTTCAGTAACTCGGTCCTGAGCCACCTGAACCAGCTGCGCGTCCAGGGCCGGCTCTGTGACATCGTGGTGCACGTGCAGGGCCAGAGCTTCAGGGCGCACAAGGTGGTGTTGGCCGCCAGCTCGCCGTACTTCCGCGACCACATGTCCCTGAGCCAGATGAGCACGGTCTCCCTCACCGTCATCCGGAACCCGTGCGTGTTCGAGCAGCTGCTGTCCTTCTGCTACACCGGGCGCCTTTGTCTGCAGCTCGCCGACATCATCAGCTACCTGACGGCCGCCAGCTTCCTCCAAATGCAGCACATCATCGACCGCTGCACGCAGATCCTGGAGGGCATCCACCTGAAGATCAGCCTGGCCGACCTGGAGGAGGAGCAGAGGGAGGAGGGGCCGCGCACAGGTCAGAAGTTCATAAATGTATAAATATAACGTGGCACAGCAGACAAATAGGCTTTATTCACGCCATTGATGTTCATTTTGTCTTCTTATATACTTTAACTTCTTGGGGTCTTTTTAAAGACAATGCAGTAAAGTGTATTTACCTTGTCGACATCTTCAGAAGTGTCCCCGGTACGGATGGGCATTCGATGAAATTTTCTTAATCGATCGTCGGAAGAATTAACGATCGATTATCGATTAATCATTAACATTAACATTTTATATTAAAATGATCATCATTATTATTACTATCTGCACGACTAATCTGCATAAATAAATTCAACTTTACGACATATAAACCGTAACGACTCTAGAGCCACATCAGCCCGTTTGACATTATAATGTGTTTAATTCAGTTTTGTTCAACTCTCACAGAAATGAAACTTAAAACCACATCACTAATTTACATAAAATAAGCTAAGATAAAACTACAGCTCTTGTGTCGCTGATGCGGTTCAATTTCTGTTGGATTAAAGGACATGACTCAGGTGAATACAGGTTAGTGTGACCAGATTTGCGTTTGTCAAAACCAGGACAGCGTACGGGGGGAGGGGGCGGGGCCTCGTCATCCACATTGAGCGACTCTCACCTGGTAAAACTTTTTCCCACTGGACACAGAAACATATGTGCTGCTTTATACACTGTGCACATGGACTCACACTTGTCCCGAACGCAACGGAAAGTGTGGAATTTCTTGTACAAATCATCGTTAAATCCACATTTGTGCTTCGGTTCGTTACAGACTGACCCACTGTTTGTGTCTCGCTCCTTCTGATGCAGAGACACATGTACACACCTGTTTGGTCACGACACACACAGCAACATACATTCGGTTTGTCGATTAAAATTAACATAATCGATGAAATTCTTAGTGATCAATTATCGATTAATCGACTAATTATGCCCATTCATTCTCCGCTGTCCCTTCAGAACTCAACACTGTATAATGTATCACCAACTGTCCTGGCTTCATCTGTCCTCCCGACGTCAACTTCACTGGTTATTATTTATTTTTAAATGTATTAATCTCAGTTCTCCTGAATATCTTAAACAGTATTTAATTCCATTCAGATCCTCTTATAGTTTACGTCATGCAGATCAGATATTTTTTGTTGTCCCAAGAGTCAAAAAACAAATTGGAAAATACTCATTTAAATATAAAGCTCCTTCTGATTGGAACAATCTTCCCTCATCGATTCGTGCTTTAACTTCTGTCCCTTTATTTAAAAATGCTCTGGTTCAATATTAACATCACCCATGTCATTGTTTTTGATTATTTTGTTGAATTTTGAACTCTGTTTATTATTATTATTGTTATTATTAGAGCCCGACCGATATATCGGTTGATATGGGCAACTTTAGGCATATCGGCTATCGGCCGATAGCTGCGTCTGGGTAGCTCCCTGCACATAAACAGACTGTTTTCTATTGGTCTGTTCTAAAGTGACTATATTGGCCGTATATTTGCTACTGGACCTGCACAGATATGTAAATGAGCTGTGAACAAACGTGTGAATTATGACATTTGCGCATATAATTAATTACCACTGCGTGCACGTATTTACGGCTAAAGGCTAATAGCGCTACTTTCTTTACTAGTTATGGGTCCGTCGCGAACGAAATGACTCTTAGAACCGACTCTTTAAAGGGAACGACGGGAGCCTGATCCTTATTGGGAGCCGTGTTTTCTCTTTCTCTCACTTTTTTTCTCTTCACGCCGTGTGCAGACTCGTGGTAGTTTGACAGCGGCTGAAAACGAAACTTTGAGAAATTTGCGTGTACATAGGATTAAAAAAAAATAAAAAAATAAACGAGCATATTTGACTGTAGTTTAGCATAAAATAAATAAGTCCCGGTTTAGTCCTTTTTCAGTCCTGGTTTAGACCTGGTTCAGTCCTGATTCAGTCCTGCTTTAGACGTGCTTTAGTCCTGCTTGCAACAAAACAATCTGAAGAGCCACTTGGGAGCCAAAAGAACCAGCAGCTTTTAGTGAGCCGAGCCAAAAGAGCCGGTTCTCTAAAAAGAACTGGAATACCCATCACTAGTGTCTAGAATGTGATGCAAAAATGCCATTAGTCCAACCTACTGTCTGTAAATATGATGTAAAGAGGCAGAATAACAATAAATGTTGCCTAAATAAACCCAATTCAAAATCCACCAGAGCCAAACCTAAGTTTTTTAAACAATTCAACATTTACAGTGAATTTTTACATCACTAAATATATCGGTGATTATATCGGCTATCGGCAGCTCCAACTTCCATTATATCAGTTTCATATCGGCCACAACAAAATCCATATCGGTCGGGCTCTAGTTATTATTATTATTTATTTTTCTTTCAAATTAGTTTTATTATGTGTGAAACAGTCAAGCGTGAGTGAGTGTGACTGTGTGTGTGTGGTTGTGGTTGTGTTGATTTTGTTGTTTTGATGCTTATTTGAATTTCTGTCTCCTACTGTCTGCCCGACTGTATCCGTCTTTTGTTGTTGTATTTATTTATGAGGACCCCCTTGAAAACGAGATGGTGACACATCTCAAGGGGCTTATCCTCCAAACAAACAAATAAATTCAAAATCCCTAGTCCTCGGTGTTGGTGTTGACGTGTCGTATATCAGATGTTGTTACTTCCTGTGGGCGTGGTCAGGCCTGATGGACCTGCAGCTCGCTCAGACTGACCACGCCTCCCGTCGCCCGGTGTCTCTGGAGGAGGGCGTCACGGGTGTGTGAAAAGACGAACGCGCCGTCGCTGGGGCTCGGGTCATTGGATCGGAAAACAACAAGTTCAAACGCTGGATCAGAGAGGCCATTGAAATCAGGAAACGAGGCACGGACAGCGTTAACCGTGATGACGACGCGTTCCTACTTTCACACACCTGGGACGCCCCTCCTCCAGAGACACCGGGCGACGGGAGTCTACAGGAAGAAACAACAGCTGATATACGACACGTCACCACCAACACCGGGGACAGTTCTGAAGATGCAGCAGCTGAAACATGTCAACAAGGTAAACACACTTTACTGCATTGTCTTTAAAAAGAACCCAAGAAGTTAAAGGCTCTGTTCACGCTTACGTCACAAACCAGGAAAACGTTTGGAAACATGCGATGATGACTTCCAGTGTAGTTCCTGACACTGGGTTCACCGACCGACTATGGAGTAAGAAAGCTGTCAAAAATATTCGTGCGCATAAAATAGAAATCCGTGCGTATTTGGGAAATCCGTGCATATTTGGCTGTAGTTGCGCATAAAATAAATATTTCTAAACTCTCAAATGAGTCCAGTCGTACATAAAATATATTGTGTGTATTTTATTCATCAGAATACGAATTGAAAAATTACGACGTCATGAATTACAATCACGAAATGAAAATTTACGATTATGCTTTCATCAGTACGAATACGAATTCACAGACGGAACTTTACTGTTAAAAATACGTCATCACTTCACAGACATTATTCATCGAGCAGAAGAAACATCGATCAAGATCAAGACTGTGCAGCTCAAGTTTGTAGCAGAAGGTAAAAACGTAAAGTAATAGCACAAGAAGCTACAACAGCGACCAACAAGTGGGTTAATTAAAATCTATTGTAAAAATGTCTTGAATTCGGGAACTGAACGCTGCTGTGTAATATTGTGTAGAAACACCTCCTTTGAACAGGAAATTGCACCTATATGTTAGAAAACATAGTGGAGCCAGTTGGCAACATCAGACGTAACGTTATCCCAGGGCTAATTAACAAATATCAGGTTCTCTGTAGGTTTAGATTAAAACATTCACGGCTACAACCACAGCGAACATCAGCCAGTTTTCATCTCAGCTGTAAAATAAAATAATACTTTCTGTATTCAGTACTTTCTGGCGCTGGCGGCAAAGAGTAAAACAATCAGTAGAGTGGAGGAAGACGTTGGATGGATCATGGGGAAGTGTCGGTTTAATCCACAGTGGCTCTTACATTAGATACAGTATGATAGTTGGTTGGTCATTATTATTAGAATTGGATCTGGTGTTTTTCGCCTGCATAGAGGGTGCGATGTTGGTCTTAATTTTCATTTAAGTGGTCTTAAAAAGGTCTTTTAAAAAGTCTTAAATTCGGGGTAGTCAAATCTAGGGATATCCTGGACTCGACGATGGGGTGGGATGAATGTGACCTGTCCGTTCAGACTGAAGTCGCATGTCAAAAGATCGGATATGTATCGGTTTTAGGAACACATATCCAAGTTGCCTGGGTCGCATTTGAAAAAATCGGGTCTGTGTCGTTCAGTTCAGTCATTAAAAGATCAGATACGGAAAAACGGACCAAAGATGTACTGGGAGTTAATTAAAAAGCAAGGGGTGTTGAGTTTCCATGAAACCAAGGAGTGTTTCAATCTGAAAAACCAAGATTTTCACAGGTACCTGCAGATAAGGCATTACATAGAGCAAGAAAGTAAGAAAGTTGCCCTGGATACATCGGGCATCATAAAAATCATTATGGAAGCATACAAATCACAGATAGTTCGGAAAGCCGTTGCCAAATTGTATAAAGCACTGGAGGAATTAAAAACAGACAGTACGGAATATTTAAAAGAAAGATGGATAAAGGGAGGCAAAAATTAAGATGTCAAATGAAGGATGGGATAGAAATTAACGAATACCAATGGAAAACCACTAATTCTTTTTTTTGGAGGGAGTTTGGCTGGAAGAACACTGTAAGGTATTTTGTAACGCCGGCACAGAGAAAAGGGGGGATACCAAATGTTGGAGGTTCTGTGGCACGGATATAGCGGATCACTTCCACATCTTCTGGGGATGCCCTGTAATACAGCAATATTGGCTAGATATAAAAAAGTGATTGATGAGGTCTTCAAAATCAATATTCCAATGACTTTTGAAATTATGTATCTTGGTATGATTGATATTCTGAATTTAAAGAGAGGGGAAGATTATAAAATGTTAAGAATTTTGTTATTGGCTAGTAAAAAAGCGATTACCAGGAGATGGCGAAGTGTTCAGAGGCCTAAAATAGAAGAGTGGTTTGATATAATATTAAAGGTTGTATAGAAGATTTTCCAAGGAAAGAGAAATGCAGCGACTGTTTGTCCTTTTTCAAATGTTGTGCTTTGCTCCTTTTCCCCTTCTCTTCTTCTTTCCGCGACGTCAAAAACGGACTTTCATTCGCGATGAACTGGTCGTGAGTTCTTGTCCGCCGTCACAACAAACTTTGCGCAAACTGAGAGGAAGCTACAGTTTCGAAAAAGACCCCGAGAACCGCTGTATCGGTCGAGTAAACGGCATCAGTGCGTGAGAGGCGAACGTAAACCTCTTAATCCCAGCGCACCGGCGAGTTAGTGATGCTAGAAATGTAGGGAGTTTGATTAACAACCCAACAGCCAATAGAAAATGAGGTAGCCTTGTTTTCTATTGGCTGATGTTTATCTGGCCTCAACACGTCCACAGTTGATGGATTTTCATTCTTTTTTTTTTTTGGTCATCATAATTACAAGGCTGCTGCGTCTCTGTAATGGTATTTTAAACTTTCACTGACAATTTGAAACAAATAAAAAAAATCCTCCATACAACCTTTAAAGGTTGTATAGAGGATTTTTTAAGGGAAGAGAAATACAGCGACAGTCCTTTTTCAAATGTTGTTCATGCGTGACACCACCTTCCTCCTCCACAGCTCCTCAGTAGAAACATCTCCTCCTCCCGCCTCTTTACTCTAGAAATCACGCTTTACATCCAGTGCGTGTTCAGAATTACTGTTGAAGTTTCCTGTCTAGAAATAATTTATCGACCGACGCGTCAGTTTTTAGACCCTTCGTCTGCTTCATTCGCGCCATCGCTGGAAGGAATCTCCAAGAATCACCTCAGTTTGGCTTCGCTCCTTTTCCCCTTCTCTTCTTCTTTCAGCGACCTCAAAAACCGACTTTCTTTTGCGGTGAACTGCTCGTGGATTCTCGTCCGCCATCACAACAAACTTTGTGCGAACTGCGAGGAAGCTGCAGTTTGAAAAAGCCTCTAAGAACCGCTGCATAAACCACGAAATCCCGCGCGCCGACGAGTCACTTACACTAGAAACGTAGGGAGTTTGATTGACAATCTAACAGCCAATAGTAAATGAGGGAGCCTCGTTTTCTATTGGCTGATGTTTATCTGGCCTCACTACATCCACAGTTGATAGATTTTCATTCTTTTTTTTTTTTTGGTCATCATAATTACAAAGCTGCTGCGCCTCCGTCATGGTATTTTAAACTTTCATTGACAATTTGAAACAAAACAAAAAAAATCCTCCATACAACCTTTAATTATCATGTAAATCCACATTGTGAAAAGACAATAAAATACAAATGGAAAAAAAAAAAAAGATCAGACACAGGAACAGGGGTGAAAAAAATCAGATTTGAGTCACTTCGGGCTGCAGTCTGAACATCGCCTTAGTGTGTAATAAGTTTGTTTTGACCCTGTGGTGTGTCCCGGTCTCCTCAGGTTCTCTGCGGGCTCGCTCTCTGGAGTCCGTGGTCCGCTCTGGGCACAGTCTGCGTCTGCTGGGGCCCAGGGCGGAGGAGGCAGAGACCCCCCCAGAGGAGCCCCCCAGCCCCCCTCCCCCGGTGGAGCACAGCGGGGCCAAAGAACCCATCCTCCGCATCAACCGAGCGGGACAGTGGTACGTGGAGACCAGCAGTGAGCCGGAGAGGAGCGCCAGCGTGGACGACTGCAGCCAGGACGGTGAGGAGCAGGGAATCATCTCGGAAAATGGTTTAGTTTGAACGGTTACTCTTCTTCTTCCTCTATTTAATACTGTGTCTGGGGTAGTGTCATAATCCGAGTGTCATTCGTTCATTTGTTTTTCAAAATAAAACCAAAAATAAGAAAATGAAAAAACAACTATTTTCTTCATTATTTGTCTCCAAAACCAAAATGAAAAAAACAGATAATGATTTGTTTTTTTCAGTTTTTGATTTTGTGTTTAAATGAATAATGGAAAAAACGGATAACGGACTGAGACCGGGGGACTGAGACCGGGACTGAGACTGGGACCAATACCAGGACTGAGACTGGGAACAGACCAGGACTGGGACCTGACCAGGACTGGGACCTGAGACCGGGACTGAGACCGGGACTGAGACCGGGACTGAGACCGGGACCGAGACCAGGACTGAGACTGAGACCAGGACTGAGACTGGGACTAGACCGGAACTGAGACCGGTTTAATCCTGGTTTAGACCTGGTTTAGTCCTGGTTCAGTCCTGGTTCAGTCTTGGTTCTATCCTGGTTTAGTCCTGGTTCAGTCCTGGTTCAGTCCTGGTTCAGTCCTGGTTCAGTCCTGGTTTAGACCTGGTTCAGTCCTGGTTCAGTCCTGGTTTCAGTCCTGGTTCAGTCCTGGTTCAGTCCTGGTTCAGTCCTGGTTTAGTCCTGGTTCAGTCCTGGTTCAGTCCTGGTTTAGACCTGGTTCAGTCCTGGTTCAGTCCTGGTTCAGTCCTGGTTTAGTCCTGGTTCAGTCCTGGTTCAGTCCTGGTTCAGTCCTGGTTCAGTCCTGGTTCAGTCCTGGTTCAGTCCTGGTTCAGTCCGGCATCGCAGTTTAAGTCATTAAAATAGAAAATCGAAAACTGAAAAAACAAATCATTATCTGTTTTTTTTTTTTCATTTTGGTTTTGGAGACAAATATTGAAGAAAATAGTTGTTTTTTTTTTCATTTTCTTATTTTTGGTTTATTTTGAAAAACAAATGAACGAACGACACACAGATTTGTCACGTTCTTGGTTCGTCGTGTCTTTTCCGATCCTCCTCCGCAGTCGACCGAGTTCATATAAAGACGGAGCGCGTGGAGGAGTGGATGGGGGCGGAGTCTCAGCAGGAAGAGGGCGGGGCCGTGGAGGAGGGCACCGTGATGATTGACAGCTCGGGGCGCAGCACGGTAGTCACGGCAACGGCTGTGGGGGCCATCGCGACGCGCAGCAACATACAACCGTCCAGCAGCTTCAGCGAGACAGAGCGGTGAGAAATTTAGTTGTTTTTTTTGTTCTTCTTAAAGTAATTTCCGCCGTTAGTTTCTGAATTGTGATTGTGTTATTCTTTTGTGTGACGTGTATCGATCCTGACGATATAATGTCCAGGTTCAGTCCGACGGGGAGTGTGGTGGTGCTGGCAGACAGACAGAGAGCCAAGAGCGAGTCTCCCAACCGAGCGGACGAGCTCAGGCAGCCCAGCTCTCAGGTACCACATATGTTTGTGTAAGAAAACTGTTTAGGATTCACATGACATGCACACTAGACCCGAGGGATTTAACGGTACACAATAATCATGATTCGGTGTGTACCTCGGTTTTGAGGTCATGGTTCAGTTCATTTCCGGTACAGTGTGTGAAGAAAATGAAAAACCATTTACTTGTTGTTTATTTGTGTTTTTGTTAAACCAACAATTTGTTTTAACCTTATACAAACTGGAAAATACTAATGGTAATTGTGATACTAATAAGTTCTAATCAAATATTCTCAAATAAGCAACAAATGAATGAAATATTTTAATTTTTTTTAATTCCTTGTAAACAGTAAACAAAACTTTTCAAAAATTAAAGCGCCGCACTAACAGTTCCAGCATGAAGTTTTACTCAGTCTTAAAATTTTTGGCCACAAAAAAACAACTTGTCCACCTTTTCTGTAGTAAGTGCAGATTTTGCCAACGAAAGGCAAAAGTGAGGACCACGGCGCGACGACTGTAGTTTTGCGAGGATTCACGTGGTTCAGAGGGACGTGGTCAAGGCGGGGGGCGGTTGTCATCAACGCGGCCGCTCTAACTATAAAGCGCTGTGGGAAACACTGCCACACAAATCACGGATGAGTTCCCTCGTGAATATTAAAGATCTGAGCCTCCGTGTAGCTGCACATGTAGTGGCGGAATGTAAACGCACACAAATTTCACAAATTCAGTCGAGTTGTGCACAGACCTGCAACGAACTCAACGTCCCGTACTGAAACTGGCACAAATACATGAACCATTACACCCCTACTAGACTCTGTTTCTGTTTGGAACAGTAGATTCATTGATGCACATTTGGACCAGAGCTTTTTGTCTTTCAGGGAGAGGAGCACGCGGCCTTCGACATGGGGGGATATGAGGACTACCTGAGGGAGCAGGTGGGTGACCGCTGGTACAGGTACAACCCCAGACTCACCTGTATCTACTGCTGCAAGTCCTTCAACCAGAAGGGCAGCCTGGATCGCCACATGCGCCTGCACATGGGCATCACGCCCTTCGTCTGCCGCATCTGTGGGAAGAAGTACACGCGCAAAGACCAGCTGGAGTATCACATCCGCAAGCACACGGGCAACAAGCCCTTCCACTGCCACGTGTGCGGCAAGAGCTTCCCCTTCCAGGTAACAACATCTACAGAGACATGACCACATGAGGCACACACCCTCTCACTGATACTCGCACACTGCAGGTACAGGCCCACATTGTTAACCTGTGAATATATCAAAGTAAAATCCACACCCTCCTGGACTCGTTAACATTCCACCCGTTATCGAGGTCAGGTCATTAGTCCAACAACCCAATAGTTAAGGACTAAACCAGGACTAAACTAGCACTGAACCTACGCTGTGTCATTAGCACATTATAAATATTTACACGCCACAACTGCAGAGATGATCACCAGGACTAAACCAGGACTAAACCAGGACTAAACCAGTGACTTTAGCAAAAGTATATACATGCTGCAACCGCCGAGCAGATTGCCAGGACTAAACCAGTATTTAAACAGGACTGAACCAGGCTAAACCAGGTCTAAACCAGGTCTGAACCAGGACTAAACCAGGATTAAACCAGTTTCATTAGTATAAATATATACACGCTGCAACTGCAGAACCGATCTCCAGGACTGAAGTAGGACTAAACCAGGATTTAACCAGGCCAAACCAGGATTAAACCAGGAGCGCAGCCGTTGAGTCAATCTCCTTTATGTAAAAAAACACTAAATTCTCTCACAGTCTGGTCTATCATTCCGGGAAAAGATGGGAAATGTGACTTGTTTCCAGGGCAATGCACGTCCTGGATGTAGTTCAGGTATTTTTAATCTGTTTGTCGTTCGTTTAATTCACCTGACTCGCCCGTGTGGAATCACTACCCGCTCGCAAAACCTCCCGTAAAATACCAGAACGTTAAAACTGCGCCATTTTAGCAATTATTTGAGGCAAGTACCCAACCCGGTGCAGGACTCTGGTACTCGCTCACTGCAGGTACTCGCATAAATTAGATCCAGACTCCCTTTTTGAAGCACTCCCATTTTATCTTTTTACTAAATAACTTCAAATCCCTTGTCTTCTTTCTTCCACGCAGGCCATCCTGAACCAGCACTTCCGTAAGAACCACCCCGGCTGTGCCCCGCAAGAGGCCCAGAGCGCGTCTCCGGAGACCACCATGGTGACCTCCAGAGGGGGCCCCAGCGACGAGGCCTCCCCCAGCCAGGACGAGCCGGAGGGGGGCAACGGCGGCGGAGGAGGGGGCGTCTACGGAGAGGGTCCCCAGGCCTCCGTGTCCACTACAGGGCCCGACTGACCGCACAGGAGACGGGGGCGAGCGAAGGGCTGTGGGGCCGCCAAACGAGGGGCGAGATCTCAGAGTCCAGGCTGAGATTGAGCCGCTTTAAAAAGCAAGAGATGTGTTACAAAAACCGGAGAACACAAAATACAACATAATTTAAGTTTCTGGAACCTGGGAACTCTTGAATGTAAAAAGAAGAATGCTAGAAAATGAGAGTTTTTTTCTCATAAATCTTTTAGAAATTGCCGATTTATTCCCAATTCCCAATAATCTATAGCAATTTCATTCAAATTTGGTTAAAGTGGGACTAAACACCTAAATAATCCACACCTAAAACCACATTTCAACTCTAAAAGTACCTCCAAGACTAAAGAAAAGAGTTAAAAAGAAACACTGGGTTGTAATCACGTTAGTCCTGCGTGATGTCACATAGTACTTGTAATTGCAATGGTCAAGGGAGTCAGGATACACCGATTTTTAGATATTTTTGACCAGAAAACTGGAAATTTAGCACCTAGTTTGCAAGTTTTGCCCAAAAAAAGGATCAGGAACAGTAAGAAACGCTGTTAAAACACCTTTTCAAGTTTAGTAGCTAAAGAAATTGAGTGTTTAGTTTCACTTTAACCACCACACAAATTAGAAAATGACTCAAAATTAAACGTCCTTTTTGATGAAAACGGGAACAAACATCGTCCGGTTTTTTTTGGAACCGCTTCCTCCAGTTCCTGTAACACATCCGGATCGAAACCGCATCTACCTTCACAAGCAAAACCGAACAGTTTTAGAAGCTACAGAAATGAAGAAAAAGTCCACACACTCCAACCTCATGCGCCGCGCGATGCTGGCGGGGCTCTCAACTTTGACCTTTCGTTCAAAACTTTTATAAAATATATATATAACTCTTATCACAGTACAGGTAATACACAGGTTCACAATGCAGCGTTGCAACAGTCTGCCCGGTGGAGGAAAAAAAAAAAAAGCCAAATTTTCCAGTGCCACATTTCGATTTCTTTTTTGCCTTGACAATCTACTGCTCCTGGGTTAATAACACTAGCCCAGAGTTAAAAAGTGCCATTTTGGCTTTTAGAGAAAGTTGTTTAGTTGCACAAATTGCAACGAAAAGTTTTGATCGAGTGTGACTGGGGTTTTTGTCGGACAAAAACGAACGTCCGTGTTTTTAAACTAGAACTAAAATGATATCGAATTGCACTTACGAAATCCACTTTAGTTGCCAGAAGACGGAGGAGGGAGGAGCTGCCGTAATAAGTTTCAAATAAGTAACGTGTCTTAAAAACGTGAAAAGCAGAACTAGTTCATTTTAAACGGTTTGCAAGTTCTTCCTGACTTAACCTTATGCATTCAGAGCGTCCTCATTATTCACCACGATGAGTTTAAAAGCGCTTTTCGCAACTTTCAGAGACCATAACAGTAAAGTTAACATCGTAATTATCAGACAATTAAAAGCTTTATAATTAGATGCAAACTTATTTTGAGGAGCTGCTTTTACAATAAGACACATTTTGCTCAAACTTGGTACAAGCCCTTTAATATACCGTCTTTTTCGAACTATCAAGGTTCAAGGTTCTTTATTTGTCATTCAAGCATGTGAGAGAAACACACGACAGAACGAAATGTGCTCCCTGAGGCCCAGTGATGCAGAGAGAGAGATAAAAAAACAATAATAAATAAGCAATATTAAAAAGTAAGTACATCAAAACAACAATATTTAGCAGTTCCAATAGACAAGTACAAGTTCTGGCTTTAATGCTCCTCTATAAAGCGCACTTAAAATCCTTTAATTTTCTCAAAAACCAAACAGTGCGCCTTATGTTTTAATTCCGGTTGTGTTTACTGACCTCAAACTGTTTTTATGTGGTACGCGGCGCTCAAAAATCTGTCGAAAAATCTGTCGTTTTAGTACGGCTTTGGTAAACAACAAAATCGCAGAGCTGCTCGATTTATTCAGCATTTCTTTCTTAAAAAAAAAACCCCAAAAAACACGTTGATAAATTATGCAAAATGTTCAAATTGAAAATAAATACAGGCTACAAATCCGAACCTTAGAGCAGTTTTGCGATGTATAAAACATAAAATGAATAAAATATACTTTGAAGGCAGAAAAACATCATTTCAATTTCATTATTTCAAGTCGATTCAACGTGGCACAAGAAAAAAATCAAGGCTAGATCATGTCTCGTTTGATGGATTGTTGAAGCATTACGGTTATGCAAATGAGCCATGTGGTTTTAAGTTTAGTTTCTGTAAAATGTAAACAAATGTGGCAAAGCTGCATTAAACACATTATTACTCAATGTATATTTGAGTCGGCCTCGTAGGAAATAAAACTGAAATTATCATTATTATTAGTAGGAAAAAACTGAAATTATCACGGCTGGGCGAATTACGCCACGATCTGCCGATGGTTCGTGGACTCCTGGGCGAAGGGATCAGTCTCAAATGTCGTCCGTTTGTTTCGCTTAATTCGATTTATAATCCGGTGCAATATATGTATGAAAATAGACGAGAGAATTCAACATTATTGATATTCCGCTTTATAATCCGGTGCACTTTATAGTCTGAAAAATACGGTACTACAATACCATACTTTATTATTATACTAATATTTGCAAGTAATGAGATTTGTAATAGTATTGATGTGATCAGCCAAAATATCTTAACAATTAAAATCTTTTTCACAAAACTATGAACCCAATATACGCATTTTTCAGTAATAAAACTAGACTTATAAATAGTTTCTGAGTAAATATTGAATAAATCCAACTCACTACTGCCCTCCTCTGTCAGAAATCAGAACGGTTAAAATATTATGCGCCGCTAGTCTGTCGAAAAAGCACTTTTATGAACGAGACGTCACCTTAAAATCTCCAAACGTTATGGCCTTCCCCGTTTGAAAACCCCCTCAAGTTCCTGTACATAGATGTAAAATACAATATAAACTTTTACTAGGCCTGTGCGTAAGAAATAGGAGTAGACTGTTAAAAGTAGAAGTGTGTACATGTCCGATTCGTCTAGCACTTTTGGGCACTTTTTATGTAATTTAACTTAAAGGAGACATATTGTGCAAAATCAGCTGGGTCACTCCAGGCTGCAGTCTGAACGTCGCCGTAGATGAATATCGTCGAAAATGTCCAAATTACACCATCGTGATCCACAGATATCACAAAATATAACGATGTAACAGACACGAGCACAATATGTCTTCTTTAAAATAGCGACTAGTGAGATCAAAGCTACCGTATAATCGACCAAAAGAGTTACTCATCTTATCTATTTCAGCTCAGACAATGCAAATGTAAATATTGTGCACTTTAAAAATAAGGTCAATACAAACCAACGCTAGAAACTAAAATAATAATCAGTAAAATTACAGTATGAATAGGTAGAATTTGAATTTTTTTGCAATATGAAATCATGTTTTTGCTTTTATATAAGGCAATGAATTATACCGTAGTAAATAGTGTAGACATTTTCAGAGGCACTTTGTCGTGGCCCCTTTAAAAATGTAAACACCCCAACAAACCCTCAACAAACTTTAGGCTTTAGTTAAGATTTAATTGTAGATTTGTTTATGTAATTTTATCGTAATGGCAGCCCTTTAATCCATACTTTATCCAATCATGAAAATGGGTCAAATTCTAAAAGCAGAATCAATTCTAAAAGTATTAATAATGAATTTAGTGGCCTTTTTACGTGATATGTTGCGTTCACAATCTCTGTCGACGGTTTCGATGGAGCGCAGGGATTTTATTTCTCTACGGATTTTAAAAGAAATCTCAAAATTCCACAAATGTTGAGCCTGAACTTCTTTCTTGCCAGTTTTGTTTCACGCAAAAATAGGCCCAGTAATGCTAAACTTTTTCTGTGAACGCAACTTACTGTGAAGATTTTAAATAAAACCTAAATCTAAAATTCAAAAACACTTCTTAGTAAAATTCTCAAAACCCCAGTCACACAAAATCGATCAGAACTGGTTAAAAAAAAAAGTTAATCCGGTGCAGGGACGATCTCTACTCGGGCTACAAAATTGACTCGGGTGTAAACGAAAACAAAAAAACATTGCATTTTGATGACGTAACCATATTTTCTAATTTAAAAAGTAAAGGTTTAATAGTGTTTTTTATTACTCAGTGACTAACTACAAAAAAAATGCTGTAATTTTTAAAAGAGATGGTCCAATATGGATTTTTTTAAAGGTTATTTTGATATTTTAAGCCGAATTGCTTCTATTTCCAACTGGGAATGACACATGGCCAAAATATCGATATCGTACATTAATTTTGAATATCAGATCAACTGGACGATACCATTTCTGGGACCGATGTATCGCCCATCGCTCATTTTTAACACGAAGCGCCGCTGAATGTTATGCTGCATTTTATCGAACGTCGGTAGTCGATAAATCAGAGTCAGTTTTCCCGACATCCGTTGTAAATCCGTTCCATTGCGACAGTTGGGGAAAATATGGATGCCTGAGAAAGTTGGAAAGTTGAATGTTTATTTTGTTCGCTTATGAACACGATATACAGTCTGTAGAACGACATTTTGGACGGGCACTAGGGCGACATCCGAATCTCAATAAAACTCAAACCTCTGACTGAATTATGGCAGTTTGACTTTTACATGCTCAGAAAAAAACCCTCTGTCGACTGTCAAATGATGTGGAAGAAAGTCTAAACGTCACTACAAAGTTTTTAGAAGACACTTTCTCTACACATATACGACTTAACAAAATGACAAAAAAACAATTCCTTAACCCCTTAACGTTTACTGTGTGCTGTCATTTTTGCTGTGGTGTAAATCCAACCGAACTTGCCCGAGTTTGTGTTTCGTAACCTCGATTTAATTGGCTGTTTCATTGCACTTTCTCGAGGTGGAGGTCGGTTTTCGCCAAGTCCCGAGCACAAGAGAATTATCTATAGTCTTCCATATTAATAAAGGTTGTTATGGATATTTAAAAAAAAATACAAATCTTACACGAGGCACAGTTTTAGACAAATATTCACTCCAACGGCAACAGCGTGCATATTGAACCGTGCAGCACAAACAGGCAGTCATTGATTTTATTTGAAGTTTTAATAATTTGTAAGTAGGGCTGGGTATCCTTAAGAAGTTGCCGATACGATACATACGTCAATACAGTGCGCTTTCGTATCGATTTTGATACGGTTCAGTAAAAATAATGGTTAAAAGTCTTTGTTAAACCACTTCTTGTGCAAAGTTCATATGAAACACAAACATTTTACTCATCAAAACAGTGAAAATGTCAAATGTGTCGCATAAACGAGTTTCCTTCCTCTAAACAAGCGACAAAACTGTAGCTGTAACAAAATAATTTAGTAAAATACACCAAAAAATACTCAATACAGCATCCCACGATATCGATACTATACTGTTGGTTGATTTAGCAGTTGCGAGGTTGGCGCGACTTGGTGTCTCCGCTCAATTTAATTTCTCTTAAGCGACGAGACAAGTCAAGTTTATTTGTATAGGACAATTCGTACACAAAGTAATTCAAACTGCTTTACAGAATAAGAAATACATTAAAATCACAATAAAAACTAATCAGACTGCGTACGCTGTCCTCCTTTGGACTTTCTTTGTCAGATACAAACTTGGTATTTTTTATTTTCCACATTTAAATCGCAAATTCATCTCACAGAAACGACAACGATCAACGACTTTGTTCGCGGTTTTCCCTGCAGTTACTTGAACACCACTGAGTGTTTTGGCGAATTACAACCAAATACCACGACCAAATAGCAGCAATTAGTTAAATAAAAAAATAAAAAATACCCGCCTACTCTCGATCGAACGGATCCTAACGTTGCGATGTCATGAAAACCGTCCGATGAAACAGGTTAATTTAGCAGTGCCTCGTGGTTATAAAAATCTGTTTTAGCAGCGTTAAAATATTCAAAATTTTTCTGTAAATTCTTATTAAGCCTAAAAAAAACAAAAAACAAACCTAAACTACAGATAAACATGTATTTTTAATGAGAAAAATCAATTCTGTGTGTTCACCACGTCATCAAAATGCAATGTCTCGTCCTCCTGAGCTGATTTTGACCCGAGTAAATCTTGTTCCCGCGCCGTCTTAGTTTTCAACCGTTCCGTTTCCGTGGCAGTATTATCCATGGGCAGCCTGTTGACCACAGCAGGATAAGCTACAGCTCAGTTACCTCTCATCACTACGCAATACAGCCGCGTCACCAACAGGGGGCGCTACACAGTCTTCTCAGAAACTTTTATACAATAAGCATGTCTCTTTATTCGTACTCTACGTTTTTGGGACACTCGGTTTTTTTTCTTTTCTTTTTTTTTTTTTTTTTCTTTTGTTGCTCTGACAATGAGTGAGAGACGTTTTTAAAGCGAAAGAAACATTGAAAAGACCAAACCGGAGCTTCGAACGAGCCGACAACACATTTATTTTGCGGTGTTATTTTTGATTTCCACGCCTCGGAATGATCTCAAAACACGGATAATTTTGCCCGATTTTCTAAACAAAAACGAGCCGGCCGTGTCCTCGCTATAATTGCGTTCCAGTTGTACAGTATTTTCACACGAAACCATAAACCTCACGTTTTAAATAGAAATATATTTATCTAAAAAGCATGATTTTAATGGCAGGTTTTAATAGCAGTTTAAATATTACAATACCTCGATGCTAA